TTTATTTTCTTTTTAAACGAAAAAAGAAATCGCATCGATCAAAGGATTCAAATCTACCGCGGTTTCTATGGAAACTTATCTTAACCTAACCTAACCTCCTTGACCACAGAGAGCGTAGAGATCGCGTCGAGAGAACGTGTCGGTTCATGATCGCTGTATAAAAGAAAATAAAGGAAGATGGATTCGTCGAATCGTCTCCATGGAGACGGTTTTCCATGGGATTCTCGTAGGAATTTTCCTAGGTACGTGTCATCGGCACGTAACCTAGGATTAGTGTGACGAAAGGATAGACGATTCTCCTCCTCCTCTTAGAAACCTTTCTTTCTCGCCTCGAATTCATTCCGATTGTTCCAGTTCCAATGTCACAACGCGATTCTCAACCGTGGAAAAGTGTGTGTGTGCGTGAGTCGAGAAAAAAAGTCGGCACCCGTGTTCAATGTTCAACGGGAAGAATCCTTTCATTCATGGTGGTACACGTGGTCGGGCATACGTCGGGAATATTTCGAGATTCTGGGAAAATTCGTGCTGGAATTCGTTTCGAGAAATAAGAAAATTTGGTGCGTAAAAAGGCACAGGTGTAAAAGTAAAAAGAAAAAAAAAGATTCGAATTTTCGACGAATTTTAAACGAATTTTGCGTTGCGTTGCGTGTAACGGGAAAAATGAGAAGAGAATATAAAATTGTAATTGTATAGACTCCAATGACCTTGAAAAAAAAAAAAAAAAAAAAAAACTCTTAAACCTGACACAATCGCGATTAGTCTAGCGTAAACTAATTTTCTTTTATTATTTCTAAAAGATCATTAAGATGATCTTGAACAAACTTTTTCAATTATTTTTTTCTGTTATTATATACTTAAACGTCGTAATAAAGTAATTAAAGAAAATCTCATTAACTTTCCACCGTTCGAGCCCATTTCCTGACGTTGGGTCTATAAAAAAATATGTTTCTTTTAATAAAATCTGTGTGTACGTGTATATATATGTGTGTGTGTGTGTGTATATTTTACGATGAAAAGTAAGAAAAATAATTTTAATGTAACGATAATAAAAACAAAAAAAAAAAAAAACGGAATCCAGGGAAAATTCTACGTAACCAAATTAATTAAAAATAAATAATTCCGAATTTTTCTTTCGATTGGAACGCTGAAAACCGAAAGATCGAACGATCGCGGGAACGATAATCCGAGTATTTTAGAACGATCGCACGCGATTGCTATTTACCGAGGGTGTGTCTCATTACGTAATATTCCAAAGCGTCTTCCAAAGCTGAAATTCCACGCGTGATACCAGTCGTGTCGCAATCCTTCCCACCGTGAGATAGTTTCGTTTCCTCTTGGAAACCTATATACCCACGTCGTTCCACGTCCTCTCTGAACGATCACGAAACCCGTGTACGAGACCTTGTTCTTTTCCTTTTTTTCTTTTTTTTTTTTTTTTTTTATGCGCGAGCCGTGTTTGCGGATCGATCGATAATCGCCGACGAAATCTTGATCGAGCGTTGGTAAAGTGAATTTCCGTGTTATCCCGTGAAAAGGCAAAACGTTCGTGGAAAATAGGTTGGGGCAGGGGCATAATCGAAGGGAAGTGGAAATAAATGGACAGTGGCGTTACACGGTCGTAAATCATTCTCTATTACCACGGTCGTGCAATTGGTTCGAACGTGAGTAATCTCGGGAACAGGTAGGCAGAGAAGGTATTTGAGAAGGAGTAAGGTTGATTACAGGGGTTGACGATCGATGATTATCGGTCGGAAAATATGTTAAGAGGTGTACACGGAGGAAATGTAACGAGGTTAGAATTTGCCGTTTTGTTTGAATTCCTTGAATTTTTTTTTTCTTTTCTTCTGTTTTAATTCTCTTACTTAGTTGAAGTAACTTTTTTAACTTGTTACTTTAAAAGGTCATTTTTTTTTTTTTTTCTCCCTTAAGACTAAATAAGCAAATAGAAAATAAAAATAATTACGATACGCATAATAATATTTACCGCGTGAAATTTATTAACCTCGTGTCATACATCATACTCGTACGATACATTCTCATCCGAGCCCGCGTGATCTTCGATCATGCGGCTATATTTCGAAGTGAAAATCGTGCGTGGTTCTTTCTCGAAAAGGTCTCGAGGAATGTTGTAGAATGTACGAAAGGTTAATAGCAGATTTGATAGTGAAAGGTATTTTGCTATGCGGTGATTCTACCTCGGGGGGAAGAGAGAGAGAGAGAGAGAGAGAGAGAGAGAGAGAGAAGAAGCACAGATACGAC